TATAAAACGGGATCAAAAATGTGCTGGAGTGGGCGGATACAAGAAAAAAATATTGCGTGTTATAAAAGAAAAGAGTTGGATGTCCGGCCCAAAGCGAAACAAAGCTAAAGGGGGTAGGAGAGTTTCAGTGGGGGAAAAAAATGGGATTAAATCGGAGTATCTGAGAGAGTTAGAGCAAAGGAAGGGGTAGCATAAGTTAAATGATCATTATGGAAGGAAAAAGAGAATATGAATGTGAAATTCAAGAATTAGGGGTTAAAAAGAAAAGGGTTGGGATCGAGAAGTGGGTCATAAAAAGCGTTATGCACCCGGGGAAAGAGGAAAAACAGAGGAAGAGAGAGGGTTTTGGGGGATGTTAAGTAAAGTATAGGGCCTTTGACCAAGTGAGAGAGTAATTGTGTAGGGGACCTTAATGCAAAAAATAGGAAAAACTTTTAGAGAGGGTGGTAGGTAAGTTTGGGGGCCCGGGTTTTTAAAGATAATGGGAGCCCTTTGATTGAACTTGTTTAAAAAGGGGGTTTTTTTATAGGAATACATATTTTTAAAAAAAAAGGGTAAAAAGATACAAGATATGATTTTAGGGCGAAATGACAGTATCTGTTGGTTATGATTGGTAAAAAAAGACTGTTGAGTAGGCTTTAGGGTTACATGTTATAGAGGGGGGCCCCAGATATATCAGATCACTTTCTGTTGTAGCTACACTGACAGTAAAAGGGAGATGGGATCAAGGAAAACAAAACATCAGGGAAGAGAGGGTAAGGTTTTTAAAACTAAAAAGGAGGCAGTTAGGGGAAGAATAAACAGCTATTTGGGGATAGATGGTAATGGAAACTAGGCAATGGGGGGCGAAGAGGTATGTGTAGGTTTAAAAAATTGTGTTGAGGTTCAGCAAAGTTTGTGGTTACAGGAAAAGGGGGGGGAGGGAAGAGGGGCCTGGTGGAATGATGATTTAAAAAAAGTAGTAAGGGAAAAAAGTTAGCATTGAGAAGTTTTTTTCAAAATAGAAGGATGCAAGGGGGGAAATATATGGGGAAAAAAAAGAGAGGTTAAGGAGTGGGAAGCAAATTTAAAAAAGAGCAAATGAAGAGTGGGTGAATGCTATCAACAAATTTTTTTGAAAATAAGAAAACGTTTTGAGTGAGATTAACAAGTTAAGAAAGCCTAGAGAACAAAAGGGTTTGCAGTTAAAAAATGGGAGAGGAGATTAAATTAAGTGGAGATTTAGAGGTTTTGGGGAAAAAGGAGGGAATTTTTTGGGGGAAAAGTTAAATGTTGATGAAGATGGAAGCTGTGATTTCGTGTATAGGACAAGGAGGGGAAAAACCCTTTGTAGGAGGAGGGAAAAGCCCGTTGTGGGTGTGGGGGGAAAATTCGTGAGGGAGTAGGAAAAAAGAAAGGGGGGGGAAGGGAGCCGGGGTTGATGGGAAAAAGATAAAAATTTAAAAAAACAGGTGGGGATTAGTTTTGGAGTGGTTGGTGCAATTATTTAATAAAAAGTATGGAAGAGGGTAAGGTTTCCTAGGGGGGGCAGAGAGCAGCATATTTCCTTTTTATAAAGGCCAAAGGGGATAAAAAAAAGAGTTTCAAAAATTTTAGGGGGATAAGTCTGCGAGGGATACCTGGTAAATGTAAAGGGGGATTTTTTATTTAAAGAAATTTAAAAGTAAGACGGGGGAAAAGGATAGGGAGATGAACAAGGAGGCTTTAAAAGGAAAGGGGGTTTTGGGGGCCCGGTTTTTTACAGTTTTAAAAAAATTTTGTGAACCCGTTTTTAGATAAGGTTAAAAAAGGTTTTTGTGGGATTTATGGATTTGGAAAAAAGGGGTTTTGACAGGGTTTGGGTAGGGGGGCAAAGTTTTCGTGTTGCAAAATGTAGGGGGGAGGAGGGAGGTTACTGAAAACAGTTTAAGAGTTTTTAAAGAGGGGTAGTGAGGGTAGGTTAGATTTTGTTAAAGGGGAAAAGGGAAATTATTTCCCCCTTTAAAAAATAGGCCTTTTGACAAGGATGTGTGATTTTCACCGTGGGTTTTTTTAATTTTTTTTATGGGTGGGGTTTTTTTAAAAGAAGGAAATGCGAGGGTCTTGGAAAAGGCGTGGGTTAAAAGATAAAGAATAAAACCCAAAGTGGAGTTGTCACGCGCTCTTTGCCCGATACACGGTCTCTTTTGGGGGATTCGAAGAGAATTGCAGAATTGGGGGATTTAATTTGGGAGGTGTGGGAAAAAGAAGAAAAAATTAAAAGGGAAACAGGAAAGAGTAAGGTTAAGGATAAAAAAAAAAATTTAGGGGGTTATAGATTGAATTCAATTGGAGGGGGGAGGGATGGAGGGGGTGAATGTATTCAAAATATTTGGGAGTGGACGTGTTCGGGGATGGGTCTATGAAAATGAGGTGAAACATTTGAATTGATGGGGGGAAAAAAAAGTGGGGTTAGTGCACTTAGGAGTCTGGGAGACAAAGAAAATTTTTCCCCTTGGGGGGTAAAGAGGGGAAAGTTTGGGGAGTATAGTTTTACCAACGCTCTTATATGGGGGTGGAAAAATGGGTGGGTGAATGTTTTTTAAACGGGGGAGGGAAAGGTGGAGACAGTGGGGGATGAAAGTCTGAGGGGGAATTTTTTGGTGTGAATATAATGCGGAAATTTGTGTTTGGAATTTTGGAGGAAAGGGGCGGGATTACCAAAAAATTTTTGTCCAAGGGGGGCTGAGGAAGGGTTTTGAGGTGGTTCGGACATGTAGGAGAATTGGGGGCGAAACAAATACTTAAAGAGTGTATCGTCTGTAGTGGAAGGAAGGCGGGGTAGGGGTCGGGCCTAGGAAGGGTTGGGGAGGGGGAAAAGGGGGTTTTTGTGGCGAGGGGCTTGGACTTCCAGCAGGATGCTTTAGCGTGTTTGATGGGAGTGAATGGAGACAAAGGTTTTTTAATTTGACTTGCTTTGGGTGTGACAAAGTACTTTATAAGGGTTCGGGGAAACCGGCAGGGGGCTTGAGTCCTGGGAGGGGGAATACAGTGCCTCACCTGAAGGGGGGGTTTTTAAGTTGCAGTTTAAAAACTTTGTGTAAAGCACCCTTTTCTGGAAAGACAGGGGATGGATGAATGGAAAGTTTTTCTTTTTGGGGGGCCACCCTCCCTGGTGGGAATCAGCCGTGTGATAATAAAAAAAAATAAAAAAAATATTTTAAGAATTATAAATATTAGGACCCCTGTCAGCCTCAGGTTATCTCTATTACCAGACCTTGCCCCGTAGGGCCCGTGGTTCGTTCTTTAAAGGGCCCCCCCCCCTCGCCTTCCCCAGGTCATGTGTCCAGGATTCAACCCGGGGGGCCCCCCTGTCCCCCTTCCTCATTTCCCTAAGTTCACCTCGCCTCTCTTTCTCTCCTGCTTCCCCTCAGCCTTCCCCCGGTTCAGTATCCAGAATCCATCGTCCCTCCCGGGGTTTTCCCTTCCTCACTTCCCCCAAGGTCACCTCACCAACCTGTTTTCTTGCTGTCCCCAGGTTCATGTATCCAGGAATCCTTCCGTCTACCGCCTGATCTTCCCTTCCCCACGTACCCAAGGTCAGCGGTATTCTTGCTGTCCGCAGGATCATGTATCCAGGAATCCTTCCGTCTACCGCCGGATATCTTCCCTTCCCCACGTACCCAAGGTCAGCCTCAACAACAACCTTCCTCAAGTTCATGTATCCAGGAATCCATCCGTTCGCTCCCGGGTGTCTTCCCTTCCCCATTTCCCTAAGGTCGGCTGTGCCTTCCCCGGATCAGTGTCTCCAGGAATCCACTTATGTCACCTCAGGTGTACTCCCTTCCCCACTTCCCCAAGGTCAGCGGTATTCTTGCCGTCCGCAGGATCATGTATCCAGGAATCCTTCCGTCTACCGCCGGATATCTTCCCTTCCCCACTTACCCAAGGTCAGCCTCAACTGCATGTATTCTTGCCTTGCTCAGGTTCATGTATCCAGGAATCCATCCGCTCGCTCCGGATGTCTCCCCTTCCCCACTTACCCAAGGTCAGCCTCAACAACAACCTTCCTCAAGTTCATGTATCCAGGAATCCATCCGTTCGCTCCCGGTGTCTTCCCTTCCCCATTTCCCTAAGGTCGGCGGTGCCTTCCCCGGATCAGTGTCTCCAGGAATCCACTTATGTCACCTCAGTGGACTCCCTTCCCCACTTCCCCAAGGTCAGCGGTATTCTTGCCGTCCGCAGGATCATGTATCCAGGAATCCTTCCGTCTACCGCCGGATATCTTCCCTTCCCCACTTACCCAAGGTCAGCCTCAACTGCATGTATTCTTGCCTTGCTCAGGTTCATGTACCCAGGAATCCATCCGCTCGCTCCGGATGTCTCCCCTTCCCCACTTACCCAAGGTCAGCCTCAACAACAACCTTCCTCAAGTTCATGTATCCAGGAATCCATCCGCTCGCTCCGGATGTCTTCCCTTCCCCATTTCCCTAAGGTCGGCGGTGCCTTCCCCGGATCAGTGTCTCCAGGAGTCCACTTGTGTCACCTGAGTGGACTCCCTTCCCCACTTCCCCAGAGTCAACGGTGCCTTCCCCGGATCAGTGTCTCCAGGAGTCCACTTGTGTCACCTGAGTGGACTCCCTTCCCCACTTCCCCAGAGTCAGCGGTGCCTTCCCCGGATCAGTGTCTCCAGGAGTCCACTAGTGTCACCTCAGGTGGACTCCCTTCCCCACTTCCCCAGAGTCAGCGGTTGCCACCTTCAGTGACCTCGCTGCATGGAAACTTGGTCTTGTCTAGCTGGTCTACGGTAGAGACTGTCCAGGTGGGTGGAATTACTGGAGGTGACACACACAGAAAACTGCGTCCAGTAATTACACCCACCAAGACAGCCGCGACCGTAGGTCAGCTAGACGCCACCAAGCTGCCTCACAGTTCGGCCACATCCGAGAGGCTAATTAACATAAATTTTGGAAATCCTTTTATGTACACTATGAAAAATGTACTGAGAACAAGTTTGTTTTTTTACTTATATTTGCTGTTTAAAAGTATTTGTGAGTGTTTATTATTGCAGATGAATACCCAATTGTTGGTTAATTTGTCCACCACCATCATAACTATGTTAAATATTACACTGCTTTCATTTTGTTTATTCGTCTTTTACATTTGGCATGAAAGCCTAACAAGCAACAGAATTTGTTGCATACACATATATAAGTATTTCCACAAATATTTATACGTTTAAACACATACACCTACTCATACATCATTATACATACCTTGCATGCATAAAATAACACACGCAATCCCATGTACTACAAATACCACACAACAATGTACACAGTTATCTGCTATCACTAATAATATGTACGAGATCACACATACATACACACAAACATATCACTCCAAAGCCCATCCCAAAGAACACTTATGTACACATACAACCTGGCCAGTACCACTGTTGTTGCCACAACCTGGCCAGTACCACTAGTGTGTTGCCACAACCGGCCAGTACCACTGTGTGTTGCCACAACCTGGCCAGTACGACTGTGTGTTGCCACAACCTGGCCAGTACCACTTGTGTGTTGCCACAACCTGCCAGTACCACTGTGTGTTTGCCACAACCTGCCAGTACCACTGTGTGTTGCCACAACCTGGCCAGTACCACTGTGTGTTGCCACAACCTGGCCATACCACTGTGTGTTGCCACAACCTGCCAGTACGACTGTGTGTTGCCACAACCTGGCCAGTACCACTGTGTGTTGCCACAACCTGGCCAGTACCACTGTGTGTTGCCCCAACAACCTGGCCAGTACCACTGTGTGTTGCCACAACCTGGCCAGTACCACTGTGTGTTTGCCACAACCTGGCCAGTACCACTGTGTGTTGCCACAACCTGGCCATACGAACTGTGTGTTGCCACAAACCTGCCCAGTGCGACTTTTTTGTTGCCACAACCTGGCCGGTACGGCTGTGTGTTGTCACAACCGGCCAGTACGATGTGTGTTGTCACAACCTGGCCAGTACAAGTGTGTTGTCACAACCTGGCCATACGACTGGTGTTGTCACAAAACCCGGCCA